TTCTTTTCTTTCCTTCTTTTCTTTCTTTCCTTTCTTTCTTTCCTTCTCTTGAAAACAAAAAACCCGGAGAGATTGGTACATGAACAACTCTGAGATGGGGGTTTTTCCTCTTCCCCACCTGTTCTAACTGTGAAACCCTGCTTGCAATACGAACGAACGGAATGAAATGATTCTTCTAAGACCCTTCCTCTCTTTCTCAGTGGGTGTGTTGGTGGCAGGGGAGGGGACAGGGAACTTCGCTGACCACTCAGTTCTTCCAGGGCGAGTTAGTTCTCCCTCCCAGTGAGGTGCCAGTTGGTCCTCCGGTGCTTCTCTTCCCATCTCCGGTCAGTCTCCTTGCCTCAGTGAGCTAGCAGTGGGCTCTCTTCTTTCTCTTTCGCTCTCTCGCTCTTCTTTCTCCTCCTCTCCGTTGGTTTCTCTCTTTTTATCCCTCTCTCTCCTGTTGCTCTCACAGAGTCGCTTCAGTTTTAGCAGTGGAAAACAGGTATCCATTTTATTTTATTTTTATTACCCTGAATAAATTGCTGTTGAACTAAGCTCCACATAAGCTTAGCTCTTCTCCTTCAACCTAAAGGAAAGACAAAGGGGTCATTAACATTGCAAGGTCTGGGTTAAATTTCTGAAAACTTTCTTTATCAAAAATAGTTCAATGAATTGAGCATAGCCGATCCATAATATATTATCACTGCCATAACAATGCCCAGAGCCCTAACGGGCTGGGACAGCCTATAAATGTTATCAATGAATTAGTAAAACTACAGTTAAATTTTAAAAACCAAGAAGACAGTGCCACTGCTTCCAAAGTAGCACTTTCTCATTCATCTTACTCAAGATTTTCTTCAAGAGGCCCAAACATACCCAGAAGCAAATCATAAACTAAGCTGTTAGTAGAATGTTTGTTTTCACAGTTGTAAAGAACTAGGCCCTTTACACAATAGGTAAAGGTAAAGGTTCCCCTCGCATACAGTACTGTGCAAAAGTCTTAGGCAGGTGTGAAAAAAGGCAAAGGGGTCACACCAAATATTGATTTGATTTAGATTTTTTTGTTCACTCACTTTGCATTTTGAAAATTGACAGAAATAAACAATCATTATTTATATTTCTGAAAGCATTCTTTGTTTACAGCATTTTTTCATACCTGCCTAAAACTTTTGCACAGTACTGTATGTGCTAGTCATTCCCAACTCTAGGGGGCGCTACGTATCTCTGTTTCAAAGCTGAAGAGCCAGCACTGCCCGAAGACTTCTCTGTGGTTATGTGGCTAGCATGACGAAACGCCAAAGGTGCATGGAATGCTGGTACCTTCCCACCAAAGGTGGTCCCTATTTTTCTAATTGCATTTTACATGCTTTCAAACTGCTAGGTTGGCAGAAGCTGGGACAAGTAATGAGAGCTCACTCCATTACGTGGCGCTAGGGATTTAAACTGTCAACCATTCTGATCGACTACCTTAGAATCTTAGCCACGGAGCCCTTACTTTACACAATTAAAAAAACCCAAAATGATAGAAACAATTGATATGTGAGTCTTGCCTCTACTTGCATTTAATATGGAGAAAGAAACTGCCTCTCATCCTGACAATTCCATTCAGATAGCCTGATCAACAGCCATTGTTTAAATGCCCATCTATTAAGGTTTTCAATGTTTGAAAGATGGTCTGTTTATTGATTTATGTCAGTTTATTAGCTGTCCAACTCCAATGGAATATATGTTGTGGCACAATGCCTCGTATGATATGCTTCATTTGATTAGACATAAATTTACCTATTCAAATTTCACAGGGGATTCCCAAACAGAGACTTAAGAGACAGAGAAAAACATTTTGTTTTGTTCAAATCTCAAAAATATGATAAAAACAAGGTGTTTTTCTCAGCAGAACCTAATTCCGAGGTTGCATTGCATCTGAAGAAAAAAAGGGGAATGTAATTTTGTGATCTTGGAACTTTTTCCTAAGTTGGGGGACTAAAACTCAAAGCGAATTGGAAACTAGTCAAGGAGCGAACCAGCCTAGAACCAAGGAAAAATTTCTCAACAGTTAGAATAATTAAATGACTTCCCTCCAGAAGTTGTGGGTACTCCATCACAGGAGATTTTTAAAAAAAGTTTGAACAATCATTTGTCTGAAATGGTATAGGGTTTCCTGCCTGAACAAGAGGTTGGGTTAGAAGACCTCCAAGGTCCTTTCCATGTCTGTTATTCTGTTATAGCCCTCAGCCTCTTTCTGTCTTCCTAAAGTAGTTGAATGTTATTAGCACCTTCAAAGCTACAACTTAAGTTAGCAATCTTAAATAAGCAAAAAGAAGCAAAACAACCTATTTACAGACTCCTCTCATGTATGGGAGGCTTGAGTGCTCAGAGCAGCTGAGAAGGCAAGAGATACTGATGAGACTATCAAGCTATTTTTTACCCCTTAAAGCACCTTACACTCTAATACTGTGACAGCCCCGTCACTCCATGTTGATATGCGCGTTCCCCCTGGTAAGTTGAATCCTGCGACAGGGCCACATCAATCTGAGATTTAAACTCATCACCAAGGTAACTATCCTGAAGAGAGAAAAAATGAACAAAATTTTAAATGAGCATTTTTTTTTCATCCAGAAAGATCTACTGAGCTACGAGGTGAGGGATACCGATAAAACCACAATATAATACACTATATCCCAAGTCTAGTACACAGCAACCATTTTACGGAAAGAATGAGGAAACAAGCGACTCAGAGTCATTCAAGATAAAAACTGTTGATTGATGATTCAAAACTGTTTTAAGAACCAGCTTAGCAGATAACTGGAGAGCTATTTCATAATTCTGATACCATCACAATGGCTTATGATACTTTAGCCAACTTGTGCAGGATAGTGAGTAAATTTCTCAAATAAAAAATTGGTTAGAGGTGGTTCTTAAGCACTAGTCACAAGGCAATTTGAGGCAGTCTTCCCAATCATGCACTCTTCAGATGTCAGGTTCACAACGCTCTCTACATGGGGCTGCCCTTGAAGAGCACCCGGAGGCTTCAGTTGGTCCAGAATGCGGCCACACGGGTTATCATGGGGATATCTAGATGCTCCCATGTTACACCCCTTTTAGGCGGCCTACAATGGTTGCCGGTTGTTTTCCAGGTGCTATTCAAGGTACTAATTATGACCTTTAAAGCGCTCCATGGCTTAGGCCCAGGGTACCTGCGAGACCACCTACTGCCACCAGTAGCCTCCCACCCTCCAGTGCGATCCCACAGAGTTGGTTTCCTCAGGGTACCGTCGGCCAGACAGTGTCAGCTAGCGACTCCCAGGGGGAGAGCCTTCTCTGTGGGAGCGCCTTCCGTCTGGAATGAGCTGCCCCCAAAGCTTCGATAATCCCCGACCTCTGGTCCTTCCGACGCGCCCTAAAAAGTTGGCTTTTCCAGCAAGCCGGTCTGGCCTGAACTGAATAAAATAAATGATTAATTTGTTAATTTTAATCGAATTTTTAAATTTTTATTGTTAATATTAATTGGGTTTGTTTTTGGATACTTAACTTTTGTAATATGTGTTGTTGCTTTTTTAATGTTGTATGCCGCCCTGAGTCCTTTGGGAGAAGGGCGGCATATAAATCCAATAAACAGCAAACAACAGCAACAACAATTAGCATTAATGGGGGGCAAATCGTCTTAAGGTATCTTGCTTACAACAGATAGCAAAAGATGTTTGGCCTTTAGAGGAAACCTCTCTTGGATCTTAAACCAAGAAGATTGTGCTACCACTTAGGTATTTTTCGGAGTATAAGATGCTCCAGAGTATAAGATGCACCTTAGTGGGGAGCAAAATAAGAAAAAAAAATTCTGCCTCTGCCTACCAGCATTCATGGTATTCAGCTGACTAGCTTCCTGACTTGGAACACATGTTAACAAGGTCAGCCAATAGGCATAGCAACTAAGTCAGCCAATGAGGGCTATTTGGACTCTGAAACAGCATTTGCCATGTGGGTAACAAGGAGACAGGAAGGAGCCTGGCTTAGCTGAGAACTGAAAGTGAAACTGCTTGTGTTTTGCTTGTATTTACTGCTACCTTGGAAAACCTGTTTCTGTTATTGTACTGTATATTATTATTTTGAATCCTGCTTACTTGTGTGTGCTTTCTGAATGTGATTGCTACTGCAAACTCTTACCAGCCAGGTCAGCTTCAGAACTTATTGCAGCCTGATTCAGCACAGCTGATTGGCGGGTGGATCGGACTGCGGGAATAACCCCAATCAGCTGTTCCAGGCTGCAGGGATTGCCACAGACCATCGCTGCCTCCATGCCTCATGTTTTTGGCCGTGTGTGTGTGTACACATTCGGTGTATAAGACGCACCCAAATTTTCACCCTCTTTTTTGGGGGAAAAAGGTGTATCTTATACTTTGAAAAATACCCAACATCTCTGTAGAATTTACTCAGAATCCCTTCCCCAAGCAGCACCTGAGAAGCAAAACTTGTTACCTGTGACAATTCTGGCTGGGAGAGGCCAGGCTGGCTCATCTGTGAGGGTTGGCTCATGGAGATGTAACCCTGAGTCAAGGGGCCCTGAGAGAAAGGCTGGGAGACCACATCTTGGCTGGCCTGGCTGTTGGGGAGGTTCGACTGGCTGGCTCCCGGAATCCCAAAACGGTTCTTCTGTCGCCCACCACGGCCAGTTTTGCCTTTCAGGTTTCCACGTCCTGCAAGGGCAACCAAATCTCAATAGGGGCAGTCCTTGACTTACGACCATAGTTGAGCCCCACATTTCTGTTGCTAAGTGAGATATTTGATTAACTGAGTTTTGCCCCATTTTGCGACCTTTCTTGCCACAGATGTTAAGTGAATCACTGCAGTGGATAAGTTAGGCTTGCAGTTTGGGAAAATTAATTGCCTAGAAACTCCCAACTAAAAATCTACCTTTCCAGCTAAAAAGTTACATACAAATCTCTTAAGCAGAATATGTTGCTGAGTGTTAACTTCCCTCCCACACACAGCAATTGTCAGCGATAATTTTATTTCTCTGACAAAACATAAAAGAGTTGCTTTCTGGTTCTGAAGTAAGCAAGATCAGAACAAGTCAGCTGCACAGAAATTTAAGAGTTGGCTTCATTTACAAGGGCCTGCTGATGGAGCACGATGCAACCTTGGGGGTAAACCTCCTTCAATGACCATGTATTTTATTTCATATATATCACACTGTTCTATTACTTCTGGAGGGCATCAGAGTTGGGATGCCCTTCAATGATTTATAGCAGAGGCACCCAATGTTGGGAACTTTAAGACTGGTGGACTTCAACTCCCAGAATTCCCCAGCCAGCAAGGCTGGACACCTCACTTATGGTTTTTATTTGTCTTTTCTTATATTTTTTTCTGTACTTTTTTTTGTAAATGGATACTGCTGAGAATTCAGAGATTGTGGTGGAATGAAAAAAAATTCAGTCAATTGATCAATACATACATGTGTACTGAACATGATGAATGCACAGCAATCTACAGACATGATATTTAATGACATCTGCCAGAGACTGCAAATTACAATCCTTTCTCTCTCTCTCTCTCTGCTGCCATCCCCCCCCGCCGCCGCCACAAACACATTCACTTGATGGACATATAACAAAATAATTTGCACCTGCAAACATCCCACCTGCAGCTGGTCCATTGGGCTGTCCAAAGTACCCTGGTGGTGGCATGGGAGGCATCACCAAGTTGAATGGAATAGGAATGTTCATGGTGGTGACATGACTGGGCCCAGCACTGATCATCCCAATCTGATCGTGTGTTTGGAAATACATGTTGGATGGCCGGCCTGAGAACGTGCGGAGAAAGATGTTGAGTAGTTTTAAGATAAGATAGCTACTGTAATATATTTCTTTTTACCCGGCTCTTTTTCTCCTAGCACAAAATGGGATAAGGAATTATTTGTCTCCTAACTTTTGATTTGGAATGGCATATGGAAAATCCATAGTGTGCATCCCACCGTATCTACTGGCCAAAGGTGAGTTGCTCTTGGCAAGCAACCCCACTAAACAAACTAACAAATCAGAAGGCAGAATATGACTAGTTTAGGAGTTTAGCTATTTTGTGTCTAAGAGCCAATGTATCACTTATCTGGCTTACAGAAAGTCTTAACATCTCTTACCTTGGCTGCTGCGATCATAAACGGATCCAGGGATAATAGCTTCACGGGCATCATACATAGCAGTTGTCATAAACCGGGCTCCCTAAAACAGAATGCAAATTAAAATTTATGAAGAGGAAACCAAAACTATTTTTGTTCCGTCACAAACATCTGGAATAGCTTCAGAGAGAGAACTTCTTGCCTCTAGGTGAGATGGGCGGCATATAAGTCTAATAAATAAACAAACAAACTTTCCTTACAGGATTGTTGAATACATTTACAATGTGCTACTATATGGCTTTCTTCCCAGTTCTGCAAAGGGCTAGAGTTTTGCTATAAAAGATACATAGGAGATGCTCCCAAAGTTGCTGCTGGATGCTGCTTTATGTAAGATGACTCATGACCTGAATCAGCTTAAAGCAGATGTTTACTTAATTTACTGATTATATGGGTGGAGCGACTAACTTATCATGTAACAGAAATGGAAGGCATTCTCCAAGCCACTGAGTCCAAATTCATCTGTTTGAGTATGTGGAGTCCTTGGTGCTCTCTGAGCTTGGTTGTTTGCAGATGTTTCATTACCCAACTAGATAACATAATCAATGCTACTAAATGGAGGTGTGGGTTTACTCCCTGTTTATATATAGTAGTTTGTCCTACCAATGTTGTTGGGGTGAGGATTTTCTCCCTGGTAGTTCCTTCATTAAGGCACAGGTTTTTTTGCTTGATTGTTTTTCCTGGTGTTAATATCCATTTATCTGAGTATTCGCTGATGGACAGGATGTTCTCTGGTGTTTTTGTTTTGTTCTTAGTGTTGTCTTTTGAATGGCATGTAAATGTGACTTATCTCTATGTGTTTATTGATTTGTCTGAATGGCAAACTTCCTGAATTCCTTAGCATTTTTGCATTCAGCTTGGTCTAGGATGCTTATCGTTTCCCAGTTGAATCTGTCCATGTGGACTTTTCATCCTATCTTCTGACAGTATTCTGCCGGTTTTCTGCCTGCACTTTGCTGGTCTTCTGCCTGCATACATAGAAGTTGTGACAGTTCTTACTATATCATAGATGATCTTCTTCTTGGGCTACTGGGTCTTTTGATTTACTAAAGATGTTTTCAATGGCTATTGCTGGTTTGCATGCTATCGTGATGCCATCTGTTTGTAATAGTCTGTTGGTTATTTCCGAGATCTTTTTGATGTATTGTCATGTTATTCTTTTCACATCTTGTTAGTTTTGCTGTACTGGGCTGAGTGATCAAGAAGAAAATAGTACCCTAATCAAGGAGCTAGTAAGGAAAAGATTACACTTCCCCAACACGCAAAAATTTAATCCTGAGCTACATATATTCTATTTCTTGTAAAATGTTTCTTGGATAAAAAAGTATAATTTTAACTTTCTGCTTAAGTAACCATGGAAGTTTCTCTTTCAAAATTAATGTTTCCGTATGGTAATGATGGCTGATTTTAAAGTATTCCATTGGGCTACAATGCCCTAGAGAACAGTGTTTCTCAACCTTGGTGTCTTTTAAGATGTCTGGACTTCAACTCCTAGAATTCCCCAGCAAGAATTCCAGGAGTTGAAGTCCATATATCTTAAAGTGGCTAGGGTTGACAAACACTGCCCTAGAATACAATACATCCAAGCCTGGAGATTTAAACTTATTCAAAGAAAATAATCACGGCTTGTTTCTTTCCATCCAATGTTCAAGCCTAGTCCTTGATCTCACTTTTCATAAGTGCTTGTGGTGGCTGTTGCTATATTGTTTTCCTCTCCCCTTTATTTTGAACATATAGTATTTCAAAAATCTCTTTAGGATGTCCTTGGCACCTTTTGCCAATCCCAGCTAATTCTGAATTTTAGCTTACTTGAAACAACTTTGACTCTCCCAGGTAACTTAACAAGCATTCTTGCTGGTAACTTGTCCTTCTATTTTTTCATGTAAGATCTTCACAAAGCTTTTTGCACAGCCACATTTGCACTTTCAGTTGTCCTCCCTCCCCCCCCCCTCATTGGAATTCTCATTGTCATTGTGTAATTATATTCCTTTATAATAGGGTCTTCATCCCAAGTTGAGTCTTTTCCCACTTCATGAAATCCTGCGACTGTTTATGGGAAGCTTTAATAATCCTTAAAATATATTAAATAGTTATTTCCCCCCACTTTTCCTATCATTTTCATTTCAGTCAAGTCTTCTAATTGAGTTAGAATCAGATCCAGATTAGCGTACCCACTTGATTTCTCCTCACTGCTATTGTTTGTTTGAAAAATCTGTACTTTAAAAAAAATTGGAGAACACTACCTTATCTTCTCCTTAGTATGGTGTGTATAAATTAATATTAATAGCAGACTGACTTATATTTGCCTCTTGTTGTAGCCCAGATATTCCCAATATCCCTATTTGCTTGGATTTCTGAGCAAGACTGGTTATTTTAACATACATTCCAATTCTGTCTTTCTACTTCAGTAAACTGCATTCCTAACTGCCATATTCCACTTGGAGAATTCCATCTACCAACTCTCTAACTAATAAGCAATCTCTATTTTTCACTGAGCATTTTGGAAAGCCTCATTAAAATTGTGCGTCTTTCTAACATTTGCTAGTTTTATCCAAGTTCCTTATTTCAAGACTTTCAGCTTCAAGCCACACCAGTTAATTTAAAATCTTCTCAATCAAGTTCACTATGCTTTAAGCTGATCAGTTTTGATTTGAATGATGTGACCCAACCTCTACCACAGGGTCTCCCTAACTTGACAACTTTTAAGGCTGGGGAATTCTGGGAATTGAAGTCCATGCATCTTAAAGTTGCAATCTTTGGGAAACCCTCTTTTATCAGCTGCCTAGCTAGTCATTCATTTGCAAATATTCCCTTTCTGGTTCTCTTCCAGGGACTGGGAAGATAAGAGGCAGCGGCAACCCATGCTTCCAGGTTCTTGAGCGTCCATCTTCAGAGTTCTAGCAGGAGCACTGCGCATCTTACATGGATTAAAGGGATTAAGACGAAGGGATAACAGTCAGCAGACTTGATAAACTTTGGAGGTTGCCATGTCACATGCCTGGAGTCTGCTTTTAGTACACAGAAGATTATGAAACATACCTTTGCTTATTTCTAGCACTGGTGAGATGGTATAAAAGCAAGTATCATCAGTGCAGTATTAATGTTGAGTTTTAGGTTGTCTGTACCCTCTTTTGTATGCCCTTGTACAGGTGGTCCTTGACTTACAACAGTTCATTTAGTGACATCAGTGAAAAAGTGACATGATCGTTTTTCACACGACCATTGCAGCATGCTCAGTCACATGATTTACATTTGGATGTTTGGCAACAGGTTCATATTTATGACGGTTGCAGTGTTCCAGGATCACATGATCCCCTTTTGCGACCTTCTGACAAACAAATCAATGGGGAAGCCAGATTCACCTAACAATCATGTTACTAACTTAACAACTGTGGCAAGAAAAGTCATAAAATAAGGCAAAACTCACTTAACAAATGTCTCACTTAGCAATATAAATTTTGGACTCAATTGTGGTCAAGGACTACCTATATCTCATGGTGCATTTCAAAATACACAAATGTGCATGTTGCTTTGGAGGGATTTTTGCTGAATTTTATGTTTGACTGATCTCCTGTCACCTGATACTAAGGAATACACATGAGTTTTGTTCATTAACTACATGACCTAAGGACACCACCACAAGATAGGTATCATCCTTCACAATTGATCTGGGGCTCAGTGACTTGCAGTCCATGGTACTGTTAGCAAAGGTAAAGATTCCCTCGTGTTAAACCTAAACTCTGGTGATTACACCCATTCAAGCTTCTTGAAATCTCTCTTCCTTTTCTCTTGTTTTTTCTCAAGGTTTGATTGTATTTATTGATTTAGAAAATTTTCACAATTATAGGCTATTATTGGAATGAGGACTGCTAGTTCTTTCTTTTTTTTTTGGTCAGTGAAATATTATCACTCTTAATAATCTTATTTAACTTTATTATCACTTTTCCCTTTATTGCCTCTATTTCTCCAGCATACTAACCAACTTTTATAAACCGTTCAAAATCACACCACTGAAAAAAGACATACAACCAATCCTCTAAATTGCGGCTATCAAAACTTTATGTGGTTACAAGATTGGGATTCAGTAGCTTGGCAACTAGGAAATATTTATAACAGCTGCAGCATCCCACAGCTATATGATTGCCATTTGTGACCTTCACAGCTTGTCTCCAACAGCCAAAATCAAAGGTAAAGCCAGTAGAAAGTCACAATTGATGGTCATGTGAACATTGTACTTAATGATCATAGGTGATTCTAATGACCAAAGCCAGAACTGCTGTCATAAGTCAGGCATGGTCATATGACTTTTCATTTTATGACAAGTCACTTAGTGAAAGAGTTACCAGTCTCAATTGTGGCCAATAAGTGAGGACTACCTATATTCTTAAGCCTAAAAAAAAACAAACTGTCACTTTTACTTGTTTGCTCTCATTTTTAAAATCAGAAAAACTACAGGTTGAAATTATTTTTTGTGTTAAAATTTAACATTATTCAATATGTTCACCATCCAGTTTTTACTTTCATAATGAGCTCATATGAGTTCCTCACTTTCAGTGAAGTTGTATCATCCATACAACAGCTGTGTATGGATTCCTACTTTGATTCCAGCTATCATCTTTTTCCACCCTAACTTTCTTATAATAAATGCACTACACAGGAAAAATAAACACAAAGGTAGTATTGTCTTAATCAGTTTCTCCAAACTCAGTTCTTAAAGCCATTTATTCTTTATTGTAGGGGGCCTCTAGAATAAAACAGGTAGTCCTCGACTTACAAACACAATTGAGCCCCAAATTTCTGTTGCTAAATGAGACATACATATTTTTTTTTTGCAATAAGCTCAAAAAGAAGATTGCTCTGCATGAAACTTACTGGATTGATAGTGTTGACCAGTTTTCGGGGTTTGCTGAACTGCATGAGGCTCTCACGGAGATTGTTCAATGGTCCCTCCACCAGGACCTTTTGCTCCTTGTAGTAGTTCAGAAGGTGATTCCAGAGAGGTTGCTTGGAGAGTGCCTTTGGATTCCCAACAATAATGACCCCATATCTAAAAAGACAACAGTAAGATACTATGAAGGGTTATTTGCTTACCAACTCATTCACACTTCAAGTTACTTGTTGTTAATGTTGTTGAAAGGATGACCTACTCTTGAATATTGCCCATTTTATTTCCTTTAAGTCAGGCAGCTAATAACTACAGAGATATGAAAATATCATATATGGAAATGCCTTCAGGACCTTCTTTGCCTGGGCCTTCCAAAAATATCACCTAAGCTGATTTTAATCTAATGGTAGTATTCTTTCTCCTACTTTTAGTATGTACTTTGATTTTGTTATTTTTATAGGCCTATCATACTATTTTCTTTGGTATCTGATTTAGATTTATTCAGCACTGTAGCTTTAACACTACAGCTTGTCCCTGGCTTGCAACCATTCATTTAATGACCATTCAAAGTTACAACTGCACTAAAAAAAGTGACTTAGGACAGTTTTTCATACTTTCAAACTTGAAGGATCCCCATAGTCACATGATAAAAATCTGGATGCCTGACAACTGGCTTCTATTTATGATGGCTGCAGTGTTAAAGGGTTATGCAATCACCTTTTGCAATCTTCCGACAAGCCAAGTCAATGGGGAAACTGAATTTATTTAATAACCGTGTGACTAAGTTAACAACAACGTTTTTACTTAACAACTCTGGCAAGAAAGGTTGTAAAATGGAGGAAAATTCCTTGCTTAGCAATATAAATTTGGGGTTCAACCGGTCATAAATTCTATAATTTTAAACCAGTTTTTATATTTGTTATTGTCAAATGTTTGTGTGTTTTATTTTGTTGTAAGCCATTCAGCATTGCCTTGAATTGTGAGATGGGCAGTAAACAAATTTGATAAGTAAAAATCACAAGCATGTCATACATTTACCCATAAACACTTGAGAAAACCAAAGAAATATCACACACATTCTTGTCTTTTTATCTCTGATTTTGCAAATAACTCTCAAGATTGCTTAGCTAAATAATGTATCTAAAATGAATATGAGGTGAAATAAATAATACACCTGAAGTTTAAAATTTTTTAGTAGAGCTACAATTCATAGCTGCCTGAGCCAGTGAACTTTTTTTTTTCAACTTGAAAAATCTCTTTTCAGATTGAAAAGCGTTTTTTCCCCCCCAATTTAGCTCCATCCAAAATGTGTAATTAAGAGATTCCGAAAGCAGAGATTCTATCTTGGATGATAGGAAGTCCAAACCTTGCTCTTGTGAGAGCCACATTGAGACGCCGGGGATCATTCAGGAAACCAATGCCTTGATGCTCGTTGGCTCTAACACAGGAGAGGATAATGAAGTCCTTCTCTCGCCCTTGGAAAGCATCAACACTAGCGATTTCAACTTCCTGTAAAAGGGGGGAGGGGGAGAAGAGAGAAAGACTTCTCAAATTTCTCATTCTCCCACATTTCAGTAATGCTATAGAATACTGTTATTATATATTGCATGAATACGGAACAGCTCTTCAGGATTCTAACTTTGAGATTCAGTATTTCAAAACACGCTGGAATCCCTGAAATAATTTTATTTCATCTTTGGGGGCGGGGGAAGTGAGTGCACCCGCACATTACAAAATGTTTTATTTCAATCAATAAACCTGAAATGGAGGGGAGGGACGGGTTTTCTCTCATTGGATGAAATACAAGCCTCTCTCCAAAGCAAATAAGAATTACAGACTTAAATAGTTATCTTTTCTAGGTGGAAGTTAAACTACATAAGTTTCTTTTTTTTTTAACGTTCCTAACTATACCACTTCAAGTAAAATATTTGTAAATATAGCACACATGCTTTGAAACAAATGCAAAGACCAAGTGGTTTCTGCAAACCTGGGAATACAAAGAATCAAGAAAGAAAAGCACAAATGATTACCTGATAAAGCTTGGTATGCAAAGATCCACTAAACTGCATGTACTGCACCAAATATGAACGCTGGCCCTCATAGGGGGTGATGATGCCAATCTGATCTGGCTTTGCACCAGCCTTCAGTAGCTTTGTGGTTATTTTCTCCACATTGGCTGCCTCTGTTCTGTAAGATAAGGGAGAAGAGGAAAGAAGAGTCAACGCAATTTCTTATCTAAGCTCATATAAAGTTTGTATGTTTATTCAAATATTGCAAAGCATTTTCCCAAATATTAAAATGAGGAAGGGACAAGATTTTATTTACTACATTTTCCCTCACTTTTATTTCTTTGTAAGCAATTCAAGGTAGTGGACTTATCTTTCCTCCTATTTTCCCCAGAACAACCCTGTGAGGTAAGATGGGATAAGAGCGAGGAACAGGTCCAAAATCATTGGCTTTCATGCCTAAAATAGGATGAGCCTCAGTGGTGCAGTGGTTAGAGTGCAGTACTGCAGGCAACTTCTGGGGACTGCTGGCTGCCTGCAATTTGGCAGTTCGAATCAAGCTAGGCTCAAGATTGACTCGGCCTTCCATCCTTCTGAGGTGGGTAAAATGAGGACCCAGATTGTTGGGAGCAATAGAATGACTCTGTAAACTGCTTAGAGAGGGTTGTAAAGCACTGTGAAGCGGTATATAAGTCTAAGTGCTATTGCTATTAAAATACACATTCTCTTGCTCAAGGTTACCCAGCCAGTTTTCATAGCTAAGGCAAGACTAGAACTCAAGAGTCTCCTGGCCTCTAGTCCAGCATCTTAACCATGAGACCAAACTGGCTCTCACCGTTAATAATGTTAATCTTTATCTACTGACTTAATCGCATTCTCCTGTTTTTTTAATAGATGGACTGTATTAACTTTAAAAAGAGAGATGCCTTGCATGGCCTACCAAGAGATCAACCGAACCTCTGCCTTCTTCCGCATACATTGGTTGCCACTGACCTTTCTTTCTTTCTTTCTTTTTACCTGTTCAAATAAGAAGTGCCAGAACTTGCAATTTCTTCTTGTCCTTGGGTCACGTAGAAAAACATGGGCTTGTCTGGCTGAGGCCATTGGAAGTCAAACCCCTTCTTCACACGGTCTGCTGCAGGAAAGATGGGACTCATTCATCAGTATAAAGGTCTTCAGTGACTCCTATTTCATTTGATTAAAATGGAGGTTTTTCAATCTCAAAGAAGCATCTCAGCAGCATCAACCCCTTCCCCCCCAATAATCAACTGTATCCTAAGGTCAATACCAGCGTTTCTTAACTATGGGAACTTTAAGAGGGATGAACTTCAATTCCCAGAATTCCCCAGCCAGCATAGCTGGCTGGGGAATGCTGGGAATTGAAGTCCATCCCTCTTAAAAGTTCCCACAGTTGAGAAATGTAGGTAAATACAATTGACAGAGATGCTTCTTGGATACTAAAGCCTGCCCTATACTCATAAATTCCCTGAAATCTAAATCCCCTCTGCACACATATCCAAAAAAAACAAAAAACACCATTTACCTGCAGTGACACCATTCTGAAGTGACCCTTCGTAAAAGATGTTGGAAGGAAAAGCACTCAGGGCTGGGTGCATGCGGTACTGGACTTGCAGGCGAATGGGCCGAATGCCCAACACCACCAGTCGCTCAAAGAGGGACTGCGACAGACCTGCTTTAGCTGCCTTCTTGCACATTACGACAGGGCCAAGCTGGCAATGATCGCCCACCAGGATCAACTAAGAAAAAAGGGAGATCCGGTCAATGTACGCACACACCTGCCATCTGCAGAAAGCCTAGATACTGAACATCAGGTGACAATTGAAAGGCAAGGACCGAAAGCAGCTTTGAATGGTCCATGTTTCCAAGCGGTAACGAGGAAATGGAGGAGCGTTCCTGTTCATCCGCCTTTGATTTACAGGTGGTCCTCGACTTACGTCCACAACTGAGACCAGAATTCCCGCTGTTAAGTGAGTCACAGCCGATTTGATGACTTTTCTGTTACAGTGTTAAGCAAATCACTGCAGGCGTTAAGCGAATCAAATCATTCAGCTGTTTCAGCAAAATCTGGCTTCTCCCTATCGACTTTGCTTGTTGGAAGGCCGCTGGGAAGGTCGCAAATGGGGTCACATGACCATGGGACACTGCAACTGTCAGTTGCCAAATTTCGACCATATGATCCTGGGGGTGACTGCAACACTTGTAAGTGCGAGGACCAGAAATGTCACTTTTCTCCCATGCTATTGTAATTTTGAACTGTCACTAAATGAATGGTTGTAACTCGAGGATTAATGCCTCAGCAATTGAATGGGTGGCCTTCACTTATGCCTGTTTAATCTCCTGACATAGAAATCCAGAGTCACCTTATTGCAGAGATGGGCAGCATATAAATTTAATAATTTAAAAAACAAAGCTACTTATTCTTCTTCTCTACAACCATATCAGTTCTACCATAGCCTTTGGTTTTCTTCTTCCCTCTCCATCCAATTTCATACTGTTTTTCAGACTTTGTCAATTGCCTCATTCTGGATTCCCCTTTCCTCAAGCAGCACACCAAATTTTAATTTTGACAGAAATTTTAAAACACAACAATTTAGCATTTGCATGCGGGCAATTGTGCAATGTGCCTCCGTATCTAAAATCTCCCTTTCAAACAATCTGAATTCTTTTCCTGAAGCTTCATGCAGGCCCCTCCATTAAAAAAAAAAACCCACACATAACCAACCTGCTCAGTACAAACAAAACTCAAAAAGAAAAAAAAAATACTTAATAAAAAATGGAATTTCTAAATGTTTATTTACTTATTCCTTTATTAAAGTTCTTAACTGCCCATCTCCCTCATAAATGGGCTCTGGGAGGTACGCAATTTATTCAATGAAATTAAACTTTAAAAACCCAATAATTTAAGATTTAATTTTTTTAAGCAGCCTACCTGTTTTGCCCCAAGAACAACAGGCACCATACACTCTGGCTCAGTGGCCTGTGTGCTTTCATCAATCAAAATGGAACGAAATTGCATTTTAGCAAGTCTTGGGTCGCCAGCTCCAACACATGTGCAGCAAATGACATCTGCATTCTAAGGGCGATAAAACAGAAGTGTTTCAGGATTGTTGAACCCACGCTGGCCCGGGAATCAGATAGGGCCCCTGGCCCGCAGAGTAGGAGGTGTGGCGCTCCAAAGGGCTCTCCTATCCCATGCAAGACAGAAACGACTGTCCCTAGGGCAGCAGCTGAGATAAATTTAGTAATTTAGAATATCCAATTAATCCAATCAAATCAATCAAATTTTAGTCAGGTTAACAATAATTTTTCCTACCCAAGAGTCAAAGCAGTGCTTGGGCCAAAAGATTGAGAGGAAACCCGGAGCCAATGGGAAATGGAGGAATATTATAGAAATTTCCCCCAGTCTATGGACCAATCAGGCTGTGACAAAACCCACGCGTAACCCCTCCCTCGATTCTACTGGAAAATATGGCATATTGCTACGACCAACTGCTCCCAATTCTCTATACCAGTGATGGCTAACCTTTTTGTCCTCACGTGTCCTACACCCATAATGCAATGCACCCCACCCCTCTGCGCATGTGCACATGACGCTCCCGCACATGTGCCCTCCCCCGCACCCCGTTTTGGGCCTAGTAAGTCTCCCTGAAATCTCCTGGGACCAAAAAAACGGGGCACGGGCATCTCCCGCCCTCCCCACGCATGTGCGTGATCCCCACCCCACACGTATGTGCGACACCCCCCACACGTATATGCGCATCTCGCAGGCGCAGAGATCCAAAAATCAGCTGGCCACCAGTAGAGCTGAACTGGGCGACTGCTCAGTGAGGGCCCTGCGTGCCATCACGGCTCTATACTAAGCTATGATACGGCTTCCTTGCATTGTGTGCTGTACCCGCCAGGATTTCATTGCTGAAGAGTGTTTGGAGATAGGATCACTCTTTGTTTTTGCTGCCCTGAAGATGAACAAGGACACAGCTTACCTATCTGCATCAGAGGAATCTTGAGCACAGAGTAATCAAGTCCTGTGAGGAACCAGGACAGCAGCTAAGTACAAGGAAATGATTACCATTAGCAATTCCCGTTCAGCTGTTCGTTTAAGTGCTCGGTAGCGCTTCTCATCAGCGGATGACAGTTCCCCAGTCTCATCTTTCAGTTGCTGCAGTTTCTGGAGCTCTGGCATGCTGAGAAACAAAATATGCACTACTTAGGATGCTGTAAGGGCAGGAAATGTTACATCTATCCTTGTTTCATCAAGTTGCATCCTGCTTTTAAGGTATCACAATTCAAAGGCAACAAGAACAAAACACTGAGATGTTAGCCACAACAGGAAAAAAGGCAGTACAAGACAAAAAATAAATGCAATCTTCGGTCTCAAAAGCTAATCTGCAGACACAAAGAAATTCTTTCCTTTTCATAAACTCAACCCTAGGGCAAAGAACTCTTAGCAGAATATCTAAAGCTTAAGGCTTGTGGAAAATATGAAAATATGATCCATCAGATAATACACTTGATCTTAGCCAAAAGGCTGAGAAGTGAATGAATGAATGTAAGAATAAAAATACTGGCAAGACCATTTCCAGTAATGTCTTACCTATCCATATTCCTGATCTGGTTATGCAGTGCTAAGAAAGAGACAGGTGAATCAATGGCCTCGCGGCTCTTTGCACACAGACGCACCACCTTCAGCCCCGTCTGATGTATTTTTTCGGTCAGCTGGTCCACAGCAATGTTACTTGGGGCACAAACCAGCACAGGCCTTTGAAAACAGCACGAAACTATGATTAGGTGAAAAACTGAGAGCAAACAATTCCATCCAACCAAAACGTTCTCCTTTTTTATTATATTTGGGTAGCACTTGCAAAAATATAATTTTAATGCAAATAAAGGACTAACAGAGATTACAAGAACAGATCTGCCAATATTAGATTTTTATCTTGCCTTTATTACTTGATAAATAATTCAAGGCAGCAAAAGTACACAATACTTCCTCCTCCTCCTATTTTTCTCACAACCACTACCCTGTGAGGTGAGCTGACCGAGAGAAACTGGCCCAAAGTCACCCAGCCAACATTCATGCCTAAAATGGGACCAGAACTCACAATTTCCTGATTTGTAGGCCAGCCCCTTAACCACTACACCAAAGTGGCTCTTATTAAGGACAGCACAAGCGTCCACAATGAAGATTAACAGATTCATGGTTGAGTGAAAAAAGCAACCACACTTAGCCCATCTCTGACCTCTTGGCATCTGGACAGAAGCATTCCCCTATCATTGTAAGCCGCCCTGAGTCCCCTCAGGGAAAAGGGCGGCCTATAAATGCTAATAAAATGAAAAAAAATGAAATAAAATTTAGACTTTTTGAAAGTTTTGATAGGGTGTCAGAGATGGCAGCTGCATGGTCAAAATCCCATCTCCTTTTACGAGTGTCACATCCACATTCCAATGCACAGATCTTTAATCATAGATTACAGTAAATCTATTCTGCCCTCTGGGTTGTGAACTAGTGTGTCCTTTCTCTCTTACCCATTCCCTTGCCTTGCCAGGTGATACACAATTGTGGCTGATGTCACAGTCTTGCCTGTGCCAGGGGGGCCCTGAATAAGACTCAAGGGACGCTGCAAAACAGTCTTCACTGCATACACCTGACAATAAAAGGAAAGAAGACGGTGAAGTCAAACAGGTTATAAACCCAACACCTGAAACTCTTTAATTCCAATTCCTGGGTTTGCTGTGGAACAGGACAAACCTGAGAATGGTTGAGATCTGGAAGTCCTTGTGCTGTGAAGCGCTTTGGCAACTGACATTTAATTATAACGTCTTCCACCTCATGACCCAGAAGTTTGTGATAGATGTAGCCAGAAACTGATGTTTCATCCACAGCAAATGTTTTTAGGGCACTCTGCATTCTGAAAAAGAGAGGCACAAGTGTGCACTTTGGCCGTCTCACCCTCCCCCAAAAAGCAAAATCAAGAGTTGCTCCCCAAATAAAACTGCACCAACCTATCAAAGGATGTTGATTTCCATACAAAATCCACTTGGAAATTGTGAGTCACTTCCACAGGAGCACCAACACTACTTCTCAACTCAATTGCAATTTCATCACCGTAATCTACGAAAGCTTGTTAAGCAGTAATTTCAGAAAAATATAAGGCACTAGGTGCCTTCTCATTGCTGCACATAGACTGATACATAGCTTTACAGAATCATATTTTATTTATTTAATTCATTATTTACATGAAGGCTCATAGTATATTATTAGAATCTACAACCACTATTAATGGCCTGGAAAGATAACCAGGCAGAGAATTATAGCTAAGTTGAATGTTAACAGAGGCAAAACCAACAAGTTAATTTAATTTAATTTAATTTTTTGTATGACCATCAAGTTCTAAGATAGTGCAGGGAAAAAAGATATTGTCATTCACAATTCTACTACAAAAATCTGGCAGTAGATCCATTTGCCAGTTAGTACATTCTCATTCTGCATCTTCCTCCATCTTGTGAAATTAAAAAGGATACTATCAGGAACTTTAATCACATGGCCAATTCCTTTCCACAGTGGGGCCAAGTCTCCTTTGTATCTCAGGCAGATCTCATCCCCTTGCATCAAACGCATATCTAAGGAGACAGTAAATAACTTTGAATATTTTTTGAAGATAGCACTGTATATGTTATCATCTGCCCACTTATTTTTATTAACCCAATCCACTTCTTTAAATTTATTGATATTGCTAATTCCAGTCTGACCTGAATCAGTCTTTGGCAGGGTGAAGTAGGCAATCCTTTTCTTGTTCAAACCAAGATCCCATCTCACAGTAATGTTGTCTTGAGTCTAAAATAAAGAAAGATTAATTCTTTATTTTTTTATTCTTTAACTAGAATCAAAGCTAATATGGCCTTTTGTCTCCTATTTTATTCCAGTGAATGGATCACTTATATAAACAGATTTGTAATCTTCTTTGCTGACTTTTTTTTGAAATATGCTCACTTCAATGCTTGCTGGAAGATTTCAAATGCATCGGTAAGAACAATATTAAGGGGACTGATTAATCTGATTAATCCAGTGGAGCTGCTTCTCATTCATAGATAACTGCTCTTTTCCTATTCATCGTCTAGTTGTCTTCTTCTCATTTGATTATTTGCAAACGCACAGAATCCACATGCAGCTTTAGAACTATCAGACTGCCCACTTCTAATCTATTAATAGCCCACCTTTTTTGCCAGATTATATTTGCTGCAATGCCTGTTGCTTTCTACTGAAGAACAATACATGCATATAGCAGATCACTCTGTCTGTACTCAGAGACTTTAAAATAGAACAGAATACAAATTAAATAATTTGGAAAAAAATATTCTTCAAGGAATACAGAACAACTCTCTCAACAAACCACTCATCAAAAGCAGCTCAACTATAACAAAAACAATCTGTAAAAAATATAACACTGAAGCTACCAATAGAGGCCCATGTATTCATGATGCTGAAATGAACATGTAACCATTTACAATGCCCAGTGCAAGCAGATAAAGTTGCATTACACAAGTTGACATTTCCATCTGTCAAGATACAAGCTTAACCTACTTGTCTTACAGTGAAAGCTATGGCTTTCTCAGCAGTAATGCATGGCTGTGAGAGTTAGACCATAAGGAAGGCTGAGTACGAAGAATTTAGGCTTTCAAACTATGGTGCTGGAGAAGACTCTTGAGAGTCCCTTGGACTGCAAGGAGATAAAATTAGTCAATCCTAAAGGAAACCAACCCTAACCGTCCTTTGGAAAGAGTTGAAGCTCAGATGCTCTGGCGACCAAATGAGAAGAGAGGATTCATTGGAAAAGACCTGTATATTGGGAAAGATGGAAGGCAAAAGGAGAAGGGGACAGCAGAGGAGGAGGTGGTTAGATAGTGTCATTGATGCAATGAACATGAATTTGGGCAAACTCTGGAAGAGAGGACAGGGGAGGCTGGCATTCTATGATCCATGGGTCTCGTATGGTATGGGAGCAGCTCTGCAGCGGACAAAAAAGCTCTACAGAGAATCATTAAAACTGCCCAGAATATCACCGGGCTCCAGCTACCAACCCTGGATGACATCTTCGCATCTCGCTGATTGAAGAAGTTGCAAAACATTCTCAGGGACTCTTCCCATCCTGCTTATAATCTTTTTAGACTGTTGCCTTCTGGCAGAAGATACAGAACAATTAAAACTAGGACTACAAGTCTTCTGAATAGCTTTTATCCCAGAGCTATAATTGCACTCAACAATGAACTAAAG